TCAACGTGGAGAGGTAACAGCCCAAGGGACCATGCAGTCCTAACATTCATATCTCAAGGAAGGATGTGAGAAAAGGATGCCAGGGCAAACGAGGTTCAAACCAGAGCCTGGCACAACGGCTGCATCTAGAAAAGCCCTGGTAGGATGGAGATAGAGAAAGAGAAGGGCTTGATCTGGATGTTTCCCCTCCCAGATGCCCACCCACAGCCAAAGCCATACGTACACTGGGTGTTAATTTCATCAGAGTAGTTTCTCAGGGGCCCATTTTCCTTTAGTTGACATCCATCTAAAGAGCAGATAGTTCCTGGACAAGGGACACCAGTGTTTTGTGATGCCACTGACACAGAAGCCCTGTCTGATTCAACTTGAGAAGCTGTTGTGAGAAGGGACCAGAAAAGAGGAAGGCCCGCAGCTGTGGGAGCCTTGGCCCTGACCTGGCCATACAGACCTCAATTGTCTTATTGCTGCCATGGAGGCTTGAGACATGGGTGTCAAAGGTCTTGACCAGAGGGTTGACAGGACCAGATAATGTTTGGGGAGATCCTGATGTATTATGAAGGAAGAACCAGTCGGTAGGGGTCAAGGGAGGAAAAAGACAGTTAGCAGGAGAAGCCTAAAGAGACAGCGCTAAGGGAGAAGGGACGTGGGTCTGAGAGAGCCTGTGACATGGAACCTATCGGGACCCTGGATTCTATATTTTAAAACTCCTGAGGGACTTTACGATGAGTCAGGCTTGCGACCAAGATGGTGGCTGACTGGCCTGGCAGAACACAGTTTCAAACCCTACGGTGGCACTCCTGAAGGCCCCCGGGCAGGTGCATGTGACAGCATCGCAGAACTTTAGGGTGGTGGGAGTTGGATCCCTAAGGAGACACAAGGAGAACACATCACAGTCAGTTCCCAGCACCTGCCTGTGGGCGTCATTCCCATTATCCTCCCAAGCACCACTCTGTAACATTTGACTGCGATAAACCCTCCACCAGGAGAATGAAGCTTATTTAGAAGATACAGGTATTTCACAGTCAGGGCAGGTGACGATGCCCACCGTTTCCCATGTCAACCGCTCAGTTCTGCAGTTGGGTGGGCTGTAGATCTTATGACAGAAGCAAGTAAGTGTAATGCTCCGGGCTGTAAACTTGATCTTATTGGCAAAATGTCTATTATGCAGCTAAAAACATCTACTTAATAGGCACTGCCCTTCAACAATCGGCAGCAACCGAGTCCTGCATGGTGATAACAGTGACATTATGTCTCCTTTATCACCCCTGGGTTCTTTATGCTGCCAATTACAGGGCTTGTGCTCTCCCCTGGCTTTCCTCGACCACACTCCCATCCTCTCGTGGTTCTTCTGCAGCGGCTCCGATTGTTCCTGCAGCATCCCCACGCTTCACAGGTGGGGAGAGAAGGTCTGAGTTTTAGGCAACGGGGACAATCACAGGAGGCAGGTCACAATCCAAGCAGGTGACTCCAATAGGCCCCTTTGCCAAGCACCTCTAGGGTGTGTGTGTGTGTGTGTGTGGTACTAGACTGGGCTATAGGCTGGGAATGCAGTAACAGGTGTGATGCCATCGCTCCAAGAGTCCTTGAAATCTTAAGGATCTGGCAGCATTTCTTTTTCTTGGAATAACTGCCCCTCCCCTCCCATGATCACAGACAGTTTGTGTGTGAATGTGTATATTTGTTTAAAATCAGCTCTGGCTTCCCCGTGTCCCCCTGAACGTTCAGGGCCGAGTCAAGCCTGCCGCTTTAAGGAACCTCTTACTCTCCTAAATCCTGTAGAGGGTTTGGATCGGGTGGAGGAAATTTTCACAAGAACCCAAATTTCACGTCGATTTGTGATGGATTAGCATACCAAAATTGGTTTAAAGTACACTTAATGGATGCATTACTGCGGGAGGGATCCGCCTAACCAAAGGATTTCTAAATTTATAAAAATTGAAATGCATTTCGGGTTACTGAGGAGTCTAAATTTGTCAAAGTCACAGGGTGGGAAGCAGGTCGTTGCAGAAATCTGAACCTAGGGCTGCCGGAATGAATTTGAGAGCCTCTGCGATGACCTCTAAGGCCCTCAATCCCCCGGGGCAAAGCCCTTTTTACGGCAGAAGCAGAATCTGTGCCTTGTGGGCCTCGTGTTTACTAAGCCCTGGCATGACTGAGGGCCAGAAAGGGACAGGAACCCAGTTACAACAGGTTTGCCCACCATTAACTTGGTGTCATTGGCACCAGTAGGTAGCAAACAGGTGTGCTTCTACACTCTTGGTTTCTGAGCCTCAGTCTTCCAGCATGAAGAATGGGCATAAGTAGCATGGCTTGTTGGGTAGGTTTAAGGATGCAGAATGGGAAAGTACTGCTTGTCTCATGGGGGGGGGTCTGTGGCGGTCCCTTTAGGAAGAGAATGGACCTTAGTTATCTCAGGGGCTCCCTCAGTCATCCTATTGTATGGCACACAGTAGGTGTTCAGAGAATCCTTCCAGAATGAATGAATGTGACTGTAAGGGCTGTAGTGAGTCCTTTTTACAATGCTCTAATGTTCTTGTGCTGTCTCTTCTAAATCTTTATTCAAGTTATAATCATCACTCATTTAATTCATTATTAAACAATCACATGGCAACTATGTACAAAACTTTCAAGAATGATGCTCACTAATAATAGCTACTTTGTTTCCTATAGCCCAATAATTGTGATTATCATTTTTTCTATTTCTAAAGATTTATTTTCTTATTTTATGCATACGGGTAAGCATTTGCCTGTGTGTATGTCTGTATACCATGTGCATGCAGTGCCTGTGGAGGCCAGAAGAGGGCATTGGATGTCCCGGAACTGGACCTACAGATAGCTCTGAGCCACTACATGGGTGCTGAGAACTGAACCCAGGTCCTCTGTAAGAGCAGCCAGTGCCCTTAACTGCTGAGTCATCTCTCCCACCCCTGTGCTTAGCATGTGCTTTGCCATAAACACACTGCTGTAAATGGCTCAATCAGCTGCTGCCACAATAATGCTGTGTAACAAAACAGCTTACAACAGAGGAACATCCGCCCTCCACCTTGTTTGTGTGTGTTGTGTGTGTGTGTGTGTGTGTATGTGTATCAGCTGGTGTGCCTCTGAGTGCAGCTGGAGCTGGGATCACTTGGTTCCAGGGTATAAACTGAACTCAGGTCTGCTTCACAGTGTTCATTCTGGAGTCTTGCAGAAAGATGAAGCTCCTATTTAAGACATGCTCTTTATAAGGTGGGCCGCTAGAAGAGGACACAGCAAGCCTGGCCTCACAAGAGCACTTCTAGCCTCTGGCCTAATCGTTCCCCAATATCTCATTGTCCTCCCCCCCCCCCCAAAAAAAAGGCAAGAGTCAAGTCGCCAAGAAGAGAAGCCCTTTCACCATGAGGTGGTGGCAGGGGAGATGTATGTCACTGATACTGCTGAGAAGGCTGTCAGCCAAACGTGCATATGGTGAAATGTAATCCTTGTTGTGACACATTAGGAAAAACTTCAACTATAGGATTTGGAGGTGGGGCCTCTGGGAGGTGGTCAGAATCAAATAAGGATACCAGAGTGGGAAGCCCTCAGATTAGGTACTTGCTTTATAAGAAAAGGAAGACAGGGAAGACACACAGACACACGGCTCCCTGCTGTGTGATGGTCTGAACTACCTTGGAAGTCTGCCAGTAAAAAAAGAACTCTGCCAGATCCTGGCTCTTGAGCCCCTAGGATCACGAGTAAACAAACCCCTTTTCTTTAGTGTTAGCCAGCTTCAGGTATCTTGTTATAGTGACACAAATGTACAGGTGGGACCACTGTGGAAGACTGAAGAGCTGGGATTAATAACCCAGTGGACCAATAGCGACTCAGAAAGAAGGGACTTATGCAGAATTAGTTAGTAGGTATTGGAAGTAGGATGTGAACCCAGGCAACAGCTCCCTCTCTCCCTCCAATCATGACTGCAGCGGTCGGATCAATAAATCACCAGTAATTGATATTTAGACAAATTTAATAACAAAACAGACTCACAAAACCAAGGTTCCAGCGGGGTAGCCAGCGGAAACAGGAGAGCAAGCGGAAGGGGCCCGCGCAGCCTCTGCCCGCGCACTATATCCGTAAACATACGCCTGAGGGCAGCCCGCCCCCAAGGGGAGGGCTTATCCCTACACATGACAACCTGGGAATGAATGCTGAGGAGGCCGTGTTTACTGTCTTAAACTTTCTGTGTTTGTTTCTTATGAATTGCCAAAGGCCTACCAGCACTAGTCTCTCCTGGTTGCTATCCATCCATCCCTCACTCCCTCTCTTTACTCACCCAGGGCATGTGGGTATTGTTAGAGCCTTTTGGGATAACAGGCAATACTTGGATAATTTTTTTTTTGAAGTTAATGTTGAGCGAGGAAAAGAAAGAAATCCTTCTCCAGGTAATCGCAGGAACATGTATAATACTGTTGGAAAGTCCCGGTGGAACTCATATCAAAGCGGCACAGGGATTTTACTTAAAAACAATTTGCTCCCATGTCAGCTGTGATTTCTGACACCTGAATTTGAAAGTCATCTGGGTGGGCCCAGCGCCATCTCCATAATGGGGCATGTATTGGAAAGCCCCCATACGTGTGGCCCGGGGATCATGTTCCACACACTCTTACAGGAGGGGATTTCCTCCTTGCTGTTTCCAAAAAACCTTCCCTGTGTTTGCTTAAACTGGCTGCACACCCTGCTCTGACAGCTGCCTGGCCCAGGACTCTGCTTGCCGGCGCCTGCACAACCCACCCTTTTTAACAGCAACCTGCACTGTGTCCCAGCGCAATTACTCGAATATATAAACGTTACTGAAAGGCAGTCTTTTCTCCGGAGCTAATAAATAAGCCCCAAAGCCACAACGTGTGTAAGACCATGAAAAATGGCATCATTATCTATTGGGAATTGTGAACTCTGCAAAAACCAGCTCATTGTATTTTTAGAAAAAAAGGTTTTTGTTTAAAAAAAAATAATAAAGACCTCCAATTCGCTAGGCCGAGTCTACACGGGAAACAGCAATACAGTCTGCTGACTAGGGGAGGGGGGGAGCCCGGCCTCATTGCTTCATTAATCTTTCTTTGCGGATCTTTATGTAAGAGGCAGTATTTGTTGGAAAACAAGACAGGGGTTTTGAAGAACTCCCTTGTCATTCACGGTTCCCATCTGCAGTTATAATCCTCTGATTGTGACCTCTGAGTCAGTTGCCATGGAGGCTGAGCCAGAAGTTTATGACTTCAGGGTGATAGTAGCTTCTAAGGCATGAGGTGCACCCTCCAGCAAGAGAGACGGGGGACTCCCATTGTCTAGAAACACCTTTCTTACATGTGCCAACATTCTACAGTTTAGAGAGTGGTTTCTCTATTGCTTCGAGAAACAAGGTGCTGGATTCTGGCCATGGGAACAGACTGTGGCTTCTATCCTGTTCCCAGAGTCTGGGTTGGGTGCTCCTGAGGCTTTCCCGAACAAGCCTTAAGAGTTTAAGGTGTCTTTACACCAACCGATTTGCATCTTCAGCCCACAGCATGGGGCGCGGGGGGGGGGGCGACCACTGGAGCCCTTCCTTGGAGCAGCACCCCGTGGGCCACTGCGGCAGTCAGTGGTGCTCGGTGTCCTGCAGAACCTTACCTCTCAGAAGAAGCAGACCTACAAGGCTAAAGAGCTAGGCAGCCTTTGTAGGATGCAAAAATACAACAGAGGGCGCCGAAACCACCAGCGCCAATGGCCTTGAATATCAATGTATGGGCTGCCTCTGGACCGCCAAGTTCCTTAAAACTGTCTCTGGTAGCCTGGGTCACAGCCACACACACCAGGTTTCGGTTTTGCCTTTTCAGAGTTACCGCAACACACAAACTGTATTTACTTGCAGGGCGAGGGGGCGGGGACCAAACCCACCGCTCAGTGGGGCGCGCACGCCTTGATCTCGCATTCCAGACTCGAGCTGATGTGTGTCAGCGCGACATGGGGCGGGGGGAGGGTTCTCTTCAGAGGTTTCATTCGCCATCTGCAAGTCACTCCCAAACTTTTTCCTCCTAGCGCTCGAGGAGTCAGGTTGATGTGCCCTGGATGCGGCGCGCTAGGCGCGGGGCTGGGTGCGCGCTCCCGCGGAGTCGGAGCTGCAGAGGCTTCTGAGCTCGTCTTGGGCTTTTCAGGTACAAGTTGGGTGCGGGCTGAAGGGTTGGGGGCGGCGAGAAGCGGCGCGCGGAGGTTTGGCTCGGGGTTCCGGTGCCCCTCTGCGGGTTCCGCTCCGGCTGGCCGGGACTGAGAGCTGGGAGTCCGGGTGGCGGGGACAGCGCGCAGCCTCACTCCCCGCGGTGCTCCCGGCGTGGAGGCGGCGGCGGCCCAGGCAGACAATGAACTTGGAGCGCGCCGAGCTCTGGCAGGTTTGGGCCCGCACCCCTCGGTCGGGCCTGCACGCTCCAGGCGCAGTCCCCAGTAGGAGGCGTCTCTTTCACTGCTCAGTCCTGGCCGCGCTCTGGGTGCCCAGCGCGCTTGGGGGCCCTGCGGGAACGACTGCGGGTGGAGGCGCCGGGGCTCACACGCCCCCTCCCTAGCCAGAGCGAATGTGGCCCGAGCTCCGAGAAAGGGGACCGGGTGGTGGCGTGGTGGCGCTGTGGACAGCTGGAGGCCGGCGGAAGACGCACGCCGCGGGGCACGCACCGGCTGGCTGTCCCGCAGAAACGCCCCAAGGAGTCAGAATCCGCGCGACCCTGGGCCAGCTAGCCCTGGAAGCTGAAGGCGGAGAACCGCTGGATATAGGACCAATGGACAGACAGGTCGGCGATTTTCTGGAGCGAGTTCTCCGCGGGCAGAACTGGGGACCGGGGTTCTCCTAACCGTGCTCAATGCCCCTCCCCCGCACACTTTGGGGGAAGTTTCCAGGCACAGCCTGGGGCAGGTACGTGGGCATCTCCCACTGTCTTTGGTACCGATGGGAGCCGTCTCGGAAACCCGGGCTGTAGCTGCTATATGTCTCCCAGCAGGAAGGCACGTGTGTGGATTTGGGGGAACAGTTTCAGGCGTCGGCGTCTGTAGGACCAGGGTTCTTGAGGAGGGACTGTGGGGACCGGCTTGGGAAGAACGGATGGAGAGGCCTGAACTTTTTTACTCTCCGCTTTTTCCTTCGTCCCTGTCCCCTAGTCCCCGAAGCGGCCTGACTAAGGAGTCTGGTGGTGTCCCCGGCCAGCTGGGGGAACAGGGGGTAGAACGAGGCTTGCCTGAACCGGGCCGCGGGGCGGTGGCGACTGCCGCCGGGAGCCGGGAAGGCAGCGGCCCGGACTTGGGGGCGACGCTGGGGTTGGCGATGGCGTGCTAATCGGTGGGGTTGTGTGCGCCGGTGGAGAGGAAGCGAGCGTTGTGGTGGCTGGTGGCAGGTCTTGGCGCACTTGGCCGGGTGGAGCCCCTTGGGATTCTGGATGGCGCCGGGGCGAGGGGAGCCAGGCTTTGCAGGGAATGAATGGAGAGCTGGGGAAGCGCCTGATTTCTTCATCGGGCGAACTGATTGGCTGGCTTGCACTCATCAGTGTCCACGTTTAGGATTCCAAGGTCCCGCGCACCCTTGTTTGACTGCTCCACCACGATCTGAGTGTCCACGTTGTTTGCCTGTCTTGAGGGGCAGACAACGCTGCTAGAGTAGCGACTGGAGCAGCCCAATGTTGGGACTGGGTTGCCTGCTGCTAGGCTGCTGGCTGGTGGCTGGACATTGGCGCCTTTAGTAAGCGCGCTTGCTGGTGGCGGCGAGTCTGGGGGTAGGAACCAGCTGCTGGAGGGGTTGGGGGGGCTCTTGTCCTGCGTCTCCTAGTAAATCTGCTGAACGCCTTCACCTCATCCGTGATGAGTACAGTTTTCAGGAATGAAGTTCAGGAAAGCCTTATGAGGGCTTGTGGCCAGTGACTCCCTGAGGTTGGTTGCCCATTATCAACTGCTACTTCTGACAGGTGGGGTGCCTCTGTTACTGAAGCCTAGCTTTTCAGTGTACCCATCTTTTGCAACATCTGACTGAATGGTGTGGATCACATCCCGGGATTGGAGTGATCATACCAATAGGCCCCCTGAGAACATCTGTATCCTCCTCCACTGTGGTTGCCCCGAGGGGAGAGGAAGCTTAGAGGTTTTCCCAAAGTTTCTCTTGAAGTCCCTCTGTTCTCCACCAGAAATTTCCTCTCAGCTGCCTCCTCGCAAAATCAAGACCTCTTCTTCAGAATATGGCATTCGCTGCTTTCACCAATTGTTTGTTGAACCAGGATCTGTTGACTGATACGTGAACACACCCACATCATATGGTTTTGTTCAAAGTAGGCTGGGAATAAAAATGCTTTTTTGGGTTGGATTTTACCAGCAAGTTTGCTTCCCCCCAAACTAAAGAAAAACTGAAGATTTTTTTTCTTTGTTGTCACCTCAAGAGAAATGAAGTGGTTTGCTATTGTTTCCCTACTAGGGCATGGGTGAACAGGAAGACTTAGGTCCAACCTTCTTCCCAAGGTCTCACTCCCCCAGGAACTATCTTAGGATCTCCTGAAGGAAACACAACACTGGAGGAGGCTGGTCCGTCATGCTTTTCTCTGATGTACAAAACCTGGGCCACTGTTCACCTAGGGATCTAGTGCTGTTAACAGTGGCTGCTGTGAGGGCCACTGTTCCTTCTACATCCTGTCTTCGCTTGCATCTGAAGAGAGGCCTCCCTTTCTCCCATTCCCAAGAGAGTAATCCTTGCATCAGGATGGAGCCAGAAAAAGAGGGAAAGGTTGGGCCAGTGGCAATTGGATTGTGTCTATTCAGTGCCTTGAGAAGAACAATCTCTAATTAACCAGTTGGGCCCCAGGAGCTGGGAAGCTTTGAAACTGCAGAGAACAAGCTGGGGATTTGCATGGTGGTGGTAGTGGTGGTGGTGGTGGTGGTGATGGTGGTAATGGTGGTAGTGGTGGTTGTGGTGGTGGTGTGTTTGTGTGTGTGTATGCTGTGGAGAGGAGACAGATAGATGCCTTGAACAGGTGAGTGACACAGCAGGAAGCCTCCAGTCGGCTCCAGCTACCTGGGAAAAAGCAGAGTCCATGGGTCTTGTTAATTTCCAAACAGATCTTAAGCCTGGGTATGGATGCATGGGCTGGAGTCTAAGGATGACAGAGGCGAGGCAGTGGTGGTAGTGGTGGTCCTGTGTTGAGATGTCAGAGAAGACTTAAACTGGTCCACATGGGCTCTCACACTGGTGTCTACTTGTTTTGCCTAGAGCTAGAGGAGGCCTGCCCAGGCTTCTCTATGTGATTTGTGTCATGGGTCCCACAGCTAGTCCATGCACCCCCATCAAGGGCAGTGAGGCTTTGCATAAAACATCTTGTCTGATGGTTTACTGAACAGATCCCGTAGTTGCGCCTAGGGGTGCCATGGGAATAAGACAGAGTCCCTGCTCTCTCTTAGGACAGGCAGACAGACCTGCCAGTGTCACGTGGACAGATGATCTTTCAGCTGCAGACCTCGGAGTGAGAGTAAGGCAAAGCCAGTGTAAGAGAGGGGTTGGCTGTTGGGACAGGAGAAAAGCCTGGGGTGGGTGGCTCTTCATGGCCACTATGCTGGCTTGGGTCTCTTACAAACTCTCAGATGAGGACACTCTTTGGGGTTGGCAGCTGTCACTTCTGTCCACACCTCTTGAGCCTTCCCCTTTCTGGAGCCTCAGCTGGCCCCTGTTTGTAGAGATGCCATTGGAAGACCATCTGCATAAGAGAAGAGATGTTTTCAATTCTCAAGGTAGAAACTGTGTTTTCAAAAGTTGTAGCAGGCTCGGGAGTGTCATACATCCGAGCAGATGTGTCTTCGGTAGTGTGTGACTTAGAAGTGACTGTTGAGTCACTGGGAATAAGAATGCAACCCGTGTCACTTTCTGGGCTGTAAGTTCGGAGGCTCAGGTACCGTGGATATTAAGTTACTTCAAAGGGCAGTTGGGTCCTCCAGCTGGGAATAAAGAGATCTTGTTTGTTCTTAGCTGGTCGAGTATTCAGAGACAAGGCGTTTCAGCTTACACAGTGGGTTTCTTTATTGTCCTCACGTATTGGGTCCTGTGTGTTCCCCGAGATTGCTTCTCTTCTGAAACACTACGACGAAATGATGCATGCGAAGACCCCGGCTCCCCACATCCTGAGGAGACTATAAAGGTGGTGGTTACATACTTAGTTTGTCCAGCCTAATATCCAGGAAGAGAAGGGTTGATGTCGATTTGTTTTCCTAAAACATGAGAATCCAGGAGCCCCTATACATTCACAGCTGGCCCTGTGCTAGGCAGGTCCCACAGATATACGTATCCTTTCATCTCTCTTAGAGGTCCAGGGGAGGGCAATGGAGACCCTCCCCATGGTTTTGATTATTCCTATGTGCAGGGAGGATGGGTGAAGGGGGGATGGGACAGTCCTCACTCCAGGAGAAGACTGTTTCCGTGAGTGGAATTGACAGTGGAGGGGAGTTGGCAAGTGGGAAGCGGTTTCTGTCCTTTACAGAATTTGCAGGGATGCAGAGAGAAGGGGAGCAGCGTCCCCCCACCCCACCCCCATGGTTGAAAGCAGCTCCGTGCAATATTTATGCATACCCTTTAGGTGTGGCCCTGGGCCAGGTGCATGGGGGCAGAGAGTCAGCTCTCAGCACGCAGTTCCTGCACAGCAATGAGATTAGTGGGCGAGGCAGAGCTTGTGCAAGTCAGAATTACATAATGCGGCTGACAGGCGTCTTCGAGGGGCCTTGGGAGAGTGCAGTGGGAGTCTGGTGAGTGCCTTGGAGATTGGAGTCTTCGGATGATTTCGCCCAGGTGTCCTATAAAGGAGTTAAGTCCCTGCCAGGTGCTGGGAACAATGCCTGGTAAATAGCACTCAGTGAGCATTGGATTGTGTAATTATTTCTTTTCTAGAACTCCTAACATGATAGAGGAATATCTCTGAGGTCTAAAACTGCATAGCACCCCTAAACCGTGTATCCTTAGAGCAGCGGTTCTCAACGTGTGGGTTGTGACCCCATTAAGGGGTCAAATGACCCTTTCACAGGAATCACTTGAGATCATCAGAAAACGGGTATTTACTTATTATGATTCATAACAGTAGCAAAATTACAGTTATGAAGTAGCAGCAAAATGATTTTATGGTTGGGGGTCACTACAACAGGAGGAACTTGTATG